TGGCTCTTTTTTCTGTGTGTCTTCATTCTTTTTAAAATTTTAAATCCCACAAATGAGTACAATCATTCAAATGTCAGAAAATGCAGACTGGTGAAAACATGGGTATTGGAACATTGTATAATTGAAACTCAATCATGAACAATTTTGTATCTGTATATGTCATGGTGATTCAATAAAAAACCCAAAGATTTAGTGATTCCTAGTGTATAATGATTTGAAATTCATTAATAAATTTCCCCATCCATCCATCACACCTTTATATTTTTTATTTGCAATAAGATAGGTATATCACTGTTAAGAAAATGACTGGAGTCAAAGTAATTGCGTTCAAATTCCTTGTGCCATATATATATATATATATATGTATATATATGTATATATACATATATATATGTATATATTACAAGGGGAAACATCTGACAGTGCTCAGGGATTATTCCTGACTCTGTGCTCAAGGATTGCGCCTGACACGTTCTGAGGATCATATGAGATGCCAGAGTTGAAACTGAGGTCAGCTATTTGTATGCCAAGTGCCCTACCTGCTGTACTGTCTCTCCAGCCCACCAGATATATCTTGTAAATATTCATTCACCTTTGAGATGCCTCATCTGCAAAACTGGAATGCTCATAACATTCACCTAACAGTTATTACTCAAAATCAAGAAGGATGGCATGTACAAAATATCTGACAGTGTCTGGCACATTGGAAGAAAATACTTTTTGGTCCTAGTATGTTGATCATTATTATTAATATTACTGTCGCTAAAATAGGACATTTGTTGTACTTTCTTGATGAAATATCCAACATATTATTCAATAGTATGCTAAGTGTTGGGAGTAGTGCCACTGATAGAAGTTTTCATAGATATTATATAACTGTTGTCTGTCTTTGGTATTGTTGTACGAACGTGCGGTTAGGTGGTCTGTGGTGCTGAGACAAGGACCGTGAAAGAAATTAATGTTCATGGAGGATCACAAGACTCGCTCAGATCTTGTGACTAAGAGCAGCCTTTTCAGCCTCCTTTTATTTGCTGGCTTATTATAATCACATACAATGAAATTCAACAAGGTAGGAAATTCAACAATGTAGGAAGGATTAAAACAAACAACCAGAGTTAATGGAAAACATGGTCAGTTACAGTACCAGAAACATAGTTACAGTTAATAAAAAACATGGGTCGTGACCTCCTCACTCCTGGCGTCTTTTTACATCTAAAGTTTAGCTAGGTCTAAGGTATGTGAGGAGAAGCTGCTGCTTTGTGCTGCAGGAATGTACTGGCCACAGAGGGTCAGTTTTGCCTTTTCCATATCAATCACACTCTTAAGCTTAGGCTCGCCCACTTAGTTGAGTGTGGGGTCCTGGTTCTGCTTTCTGCTTGCAGGGCAGCGTACAAGGACTCATCTTCATTACCTGGTTGGGCACCAACATGGTATTATAATAGAAGTATCATTAGTAGCATTTATTATTATTGAAAATTATTTCCCCTTCCTTATACAGTAGAGGTAAATATAAATTATTATCCAGGTAATTTATTTGCATTTTGTTTGAAAAGAGTGACCTGGTATATCATTTGCTGATTTATATGCTATATAGGAAGAAGGTAGAATAAATACAAGAAAGTATATATATTTTCATTTTTTAGTAGTTGCACACTAGAAAGCCTTGCTCTGGGTATACTACTGATGACCTAATGGTTCCCTCATGGTGAAGAATGCACATAGTATCTAATGCAGTTACTTGACTTTATGTTTACCTGTTTTTCCAAACATGAAATGAAAAGCCATAGTAAAAACTATCATCCTGTAAAATATTTAATTAATTATAGGAACCAGAGTGATAGTACAGAGGTTAGGGTGTTTGCCTTGCACGCAGATGACCTGGGTTCTATTCTCGGCATCGCATATGGTCCCCCAAGAACCGCCAGGAGTAATTCCTGAGTGTAGAGCCAGGAGTAACCCCTGCTCTTTGCTGGGTGTGACCCAAAAATCAAAAAAAATTAACTATAGCTCTGTTTAAATAATTATAGTGTCCTTAAAACATCTGACTGTAGAATAAAACTATCATCCCGTAAAGTATTTGATTTCATCTCTATTTACATAAATCAATATTTATAGTGTCCTTAAAACATTATAGATTTTTTAAAAAATTTTATTAGAGAAACACCATGAGATACAGTTGTAGACTTACAAATTTTTGTGCATGGGTTTCAGTTATACAATGATCGAGTACCGATCCCTCCACCAGTGCCCATTCTCCACCACCACTGATGGAGTATCCCTCCAATATCCCTCCCATCCCCTAATCCCCCCATCACCTTGCCTCTGTGGCAGGGAATTCCCTTTTATTCTCTCTCTCCTTTTGAGTGCTGTGTGGTTTGCAAAAGATGAATTGAGTGGCAATCATGTTTGGTCTATAGTCTATTTTCAGCATGCATCTCACATCCTGGGAGGATCTTCTCAACACCCTTTTGTTTGGTGCTCCCTTCTCTATCTGAGCTGCCTTTTCCTCTGGCATGTGCGGCTGGCCTCCAAGCCATGGAGTAAACCTCCTAGTATTTATCTGGACTATTCTTGGGTGTTAGTCTCCTATTTTGTTACTTTGTGTTCTCCAGATGAAGGCAATCTTTCTATGTCTGTCCCTTTCTTTCTGACTCATTTCACTTAGCATGATACTTTCCATGTAGTACAAATTGTATGTAAATTTCATGACTTCATCTTTTCTAACAGCTACATAGTACTCCATTGTGTAGATGTACCAAAGTTTCTTTAACCAGTCATCTGTTCTTGGGCACTCGGGGTTTTTCCAGATTCTGGATATTGTAAACAGGGCTGCAATGAACAAACAAGTGCAGATGTCACTTCGACTATACATTTTTGCCTCTCTGGGATATATTTCCAGGAGTGGTATTGATGGGTCAAATAGGAGTTCAATTTCTAATTTTTTGAGAATCATTCCATCTGAATGACAAAAAGGCACATTAGATTATAGATTAAAAACTATCATACTGTAAATTATATAATTATGTCTATAAATATTTACAGTGTCCTTATAATGTTTAGATTATATAATAATGTATAATCAATGAATAACAGGATGTCAAGTGATCAAGTGATATAATAAGTTCTGGAAAATTTAGAAACAATCTTATAAAATGGTACTAGTTTTTGGTGTGATTTTAAGGACAGCAATTTTTTTTTTACTACTAGAGAGACTAGAAACACAGTGACTTAGGTAAGATAGAAGATCCACTAAGTTGAAATGATTGAGAAAGGGTCATTATTCCATTGTTTAGGATCTTCTATTCCTATTGATCATATCTCTTTTCCTATTTTATTTATTTTGGGGTGTGCGCAAAAACCAGATGTGTTCATGGCTTACTCTCATTGTGTACTCAGGGATCACTTTTGGCAGCCTCAGGGGATGACCATAGGGAGTGCGAGGAATTGAGTCCAGGTCAGAGACATGCAAAGAAAGTGCATTGCCCACTGTACTATCTCTCTGGCCCTGCATCATTTTCAAAGTCAATTCTTTGTACAAAAGGACTGGAGAGGTTGCACAGTGGATAAGGCACTTTCCTTACATGTGATTGACCCAGGTTCAATCACTGGCATCCCAAATGGTCCCCTATGTACCTCAAGTAGTTATTCTATAGTGCAGAGCCACACTCTAAATTTGTTGGGGGTACGATGGGGCAACATCTGGTGGTATTTATGGCTTACTCTTGGCTCTGCCCTCAGCGATCACTCCTGGCAGACCTCAGGGTATCATATGCAGGTCCAGGGATCCAGCCTATGTTGGATCCTATCCAACAAATGGTAAAAGTGCCTTACCTACTTTACTCTCTTGCCAGCCCAAGATCAGAAGACTTTTATTTTGTTTTATAGTTTTGCTTTTTGAACCATAACTGGCTATGCTCAGAGCTTAGTTGGCTTCTGTGCTCAGGGATCACTTTTCGCGAGCTCTGGGGCTGATATGTGGTACTAGGAATCAAACCCAGGTTGCCTGTATATAAGGCAAGCCCCTTACTGGCTGTACTATTTCTCCAGCCCCATTGAGCAGGAAAAATTTAATGAAAAAAATCTCAGACATACCAGCTTTAAAGTTTATGTACCCATATTAGTAGCCTTGGTGAAAAATACCAACATATTTTCAGAAGAAGGAATTGTCAGTTATAGACAAGAGCATTTGAAATCTCCTGCCAGACGGTGGCTTTCAGACTTCAATCTGAAGTGTTGGTGTTTGTGAAGAAGTTCTCAGAAACATTCCTGCAGCTTTTACAAGAGAAAAACAGAATAAAAGTAGAGACATACCATGTCCTGTGCTATCGCTATCGCTCCAGCTCTGTAAACGGGGAAAAAATAAGAAACCACTCTTGTTAAGAAAAAAATTGTCATACTCTTTAAAAGAATTTTAGCAGAATCAAGACACTAACTGGGCTATTTTAATGACAGTTGACCAACTTACCTACAGAGCTAAGTTGCCAATTAGGAATAAATAGGTAATGAATATTTTAAAATAGAACTTTATGTTTTAGTGTTTTATTTTGTTGTGCCAATGATTGAATGCAGGGCGTCAAACTTGACAGCCAAATCCCTATCCCTAGATTTTAAAAAAATTAAATACATTTTGGTTTTGAAGGCCACACCTTATGGTGTTCAGGGCTTGCTGTTAGCTCTGTACTCAGGAGTAACATTCTGGTGAGGCTCAGGAAACCACATTGAGGTGCCATACCTGCTATCCTATCTCTATGGCTCTGATTTGTTTTTCAATAATTATTTTCTACTTCTTTTTAAGTAATCACATACCATAAAGTCTTTGAATAGAAATTAAATGATATTTGTTTGCCACTTTACTTTAAAGCTCTTTAAAGGAATATTTCTACCACATAACACTATAGTGATTAAAAATTAATGATTAAGATTCTGTGGTTGCAATATTGTTAATAATGGTTTCTCATGCTTCTCTTAAGAAATAACACTATAATAATTTAATTTGTCAGTTCTCCTTCATCTAATTCAGAGAGGGGCCTCCTGTCTTCATCATCACAAGAACAGGACGGAGCATCTGCTAAGTGAGCTGTGGTGGCCACTCTTGCAGGAGGAACTTCATTTCACTAGATTGCAGCTGACAAGCACTTCAAGGTAATGGGAGTGTCAAATTATGTTATCATCTAGAAACTTATCAGGACTATAGAGTAAAGGTGAGAAAAATAGGCAGTGTACTTAGAATGGTGGAAAGGCATGTGTGGTTTTGAAAAACTTGCTGAAGGTTTGAAATGTTTATGTTTCCCGTTGCTTTAAAAGTTGACAATGGGAGAAGTAGTAAATAGATTATAGCCTGTATATTTACATTTCAATGTAGCATATCCATTCATGGTGATGTTTTGACTTGGCATGCCTTATTTATTTTTGTAGTCTCTAATTCAGGGAGCAGAGAGATAGGTAAGAGTACATGACTAGCGTGTACCTGATCTAGGTTCTATCACCAACACCACATGGCTCCACAGTGTTGTCACCATATGTAGCCCTAGAAGCTCCCCAAGCACTACTGGAGTAGTCCTGGTGTGCCTTAGCATCCCAGGGTTTGATATTCACTGCCTCTTCAGGACCTATAGGGATGTATCAGAGGGATTTGCTCAGAATTGCTAGGAATGGTCTCAACTATGCTGCACCCCCAAACAAAACAACAAAAAATTGTTTGATAGCATTGGGGAAATATTCCATTAATTGCTTGACATTCTACACATCAGTCAACAATGTTTGCATCACATATATGTGAGCACAGAAATTAGAACAAATGCAGAGTTGAATGAACATACTTTTATAAGTATACGTATGCACATGTATATACAAAGTGGAAAAGCAATTATAGAATATCATATGTCATCTCTTACTTAGAAATAAATATGTTAATAGGATTAATGTATACTACTATAATTTATGCAACCACGTCAGACGAAATGTATTGATCTGCCACACTATTAACAGGATGATTTTTGTAACTAAAAGAGATAGACTTGCTTTCCTGCTTCATATTAAATATTTTATTAATATATATTTTTCTCATTTATGTTTTCATATCATCAGCATTAACTGTTGAGAAAAATTCTGAAAATGTTAATTCATAGACACAGTACAAGGGCTAAAGTGCTGGACTTACATGTAGCTGCCTTTGATTTGATCCTTGACGTAGATAGGAATGGTCCTTCAAGCATTGTGATCCCTGGGCATAGAGCAAAGAGTAAGCCCCTGAACACTGCCAAGTATAGAAAAAAATCACATAAAAGTAACCCAAGCACCAAAATTTGTAAGTCTACAAATGTACCTCATGATGTCTCACTAATAAAAATTAGAAAATAAATAAAAATAAAAAAGTATGTTCAAACATATCACATTTGTAGAGAGGGACCTCCCAAACATTGAACTAGAGGCCACCCTGAGCACTTCCCAGTTGCTTGTCGCTCAAGAATAGAGCCTAGCCCAAGAATGTGGTGCTTCTTCATCCGTGTATTGCTTGGTATTAACCATGGCCAATGCTGAAGGATCCTGTGGTGCCTCGGCTGAAACTAGGATTGGCTACATGTATATGTCCTAAATACTGTACTATCTTCCCTGCCTATCAGGTTATTGAATTTGATATTGTTTTGAAATGATATGCATGTATATATGGTATATATGCAATATATGTAACTGATATATCTCATATTTGAGAAAATCATGGAAAAACAAACTGATTATTTTGATAGAATTGCACTTTGATTTATGCATATCTTTCTGTGCCTTTTTAATTTTTACAAGTTTCTAGATGTCTTTATAACCAGATATGTTTTAGATAAAGACATTTTGATTATTTTAAAATCATCTGTTACAAAACCCATATTCTTAGAATAAAAAATGTTAGATGTCTGGGAAATCTCCTGAACGGCTAAATAAATGTATTTGCCACCCCTTTCTCATTAAAAGGATCTGTTAGTTGTAGAGGCCCTGCATTTATCTCCTGGGCAGTCTTCAGTGATTCTTTACACAAATTGACACCTGTTTTGTTGCCTAAATTTTCTTCAGTCAATCATTTTTATGGAGTAGGCTAATAAAAGCAAAGGAAGATATTTTGTATTGGTAAACGTGATATAACATGTAGAGTATATTGGGGTCAGAGAAATAAAAGAACAGTAAAATACTTGTCTTGCACTGAGCTGACTCTGGTTTGATTTTTGACACCACATATGATCCTACAAGTCCTTCCAGGAGTTATCCATGAGTGCAGAGACAGGGGTTGAACCCTTACCACCAAGCCAAAAATAATGCAAAGTGTGAATAAAATTATTTTTTGAAAATATTCAAAGGAGGAAAAGTCCACATGCATTTTAATGTGAAAAAGAAAATTAAATGAATAATTTAGCCCATGCTAGACACAAGGTAGTTGTTACTTCCCTTCTCTCTTGTCCTTACCTCATATTTTTCTGAGAGAATTTCAGCTTCAACCAAATAGCATAATAGTATTATATATCAAATTTTAAATAATAAGGACAAGAATGAAATTAAAAATAATATCTCTATCACAGTTGATGATAGATTTTATTTCATTTCTGTTATTTCATTTCAGAATATGTCTGCTAAAATTCTGATATAAAAGTCTCTTTATGTTTGTTTTATTCCATGTTTTCTTTTGGACAGCCTGTCTCCATTTTGAGTGAGAATCAAGACAGCCTGATCATTGAGCTGGAATCTAGCCAATCCACATAATACTAGGTAAGGCACTGCATCTCAGAGAACATTTTACATTTGCAGCAGTTGAGATTGGGGATGTAGCTCATGATATAAGGCATGATTCACATATAGGAGGCATTGAGTTGAATCCTAGCACCGAACAGTCCCATTCATAACACTGAGAACTTGTGATATGATTTATTTGGTTTTCTACTTTGCAACCCATAACAACTTAAAATGGAAGCCACATTACATATTTAAATGATGTTAAGTTGCATATTAAAGAATGTTTGAGCCTCTGTAGCCATAATATTTTGTAATCATAATTAATAGCTTATAGTTTAGAGAAACAGTATCATATTAATCTGCTATTCATACATCATGTAAGAGGTTATTCAGATTTCTACCTTAGGTCTTAATTAGCTGTATGACTTTCAGATAATCCTAGATAACTGTTCTATTAGATAAGCGACTATAGATGCTATGATGAGTCTCTGCCTTCTAAACTCATGTTTTAATAAGGTCTTTGTTGTTGTCAGTATACAGATGTTCTTTGTTACTTTCTGCCTGCTTTGGATCAACAGAAAAGCCTTCCCAGCATAAGTACTATAAAGTTGTGTGGTTGACTAGAATAGTGATTCTTAAAGAGTTATTCTTAAATAAATAACATCATAATCACTTGGAAATGTATCAAAAACACAAGATATTAAGCCTAATTCAGTCCTTGTAGATTAAACTCCCACATTATTGCCTGAAAAACTAGTTTTAATGAGCTCTTCAAATGCTTCTGATGCATGTGAAGTTAAGAGTCTTTAAGTTCTAGAACTTTATAATGTTAGGGGCACAAACAGGCTGAAGTATTAGTAAACAACACATCTTCACCCAACCCTGCTATCAAGATAAAACACATTTACTCTTTAATAAGCATGTTCAATAAAGGCAAGTTCTTGAGTTTACATTATTAAAAATAATTTCTGTGACTCAGATCCCCTCCTTGAACAATGCTGTGTTTTTCTTCTCTGTCTTTTATTGCACTAATCATTGTTTTCTTCTGTTTATTATTGATTACCTTCTACTTTGACAAGAAATGATGCTAATGCATTTTCCTTTTCTCATTTCAGTATCTTCCGTATTGTACCATTCAAGCAACTTGATCAAGCATTCCTTGGAAATTCAGCTGAAGAAGAACAAACTGTATGAACTGAAATCCTTACTTGGTTAAAAGACAAAAGGGGTTTGGGTATAGGTTTGATAAGGACTCATTTATCAGTGACAAGAATTGCCAGGCACTTAAATTCTTGGTAACAGTCTCTTGGTACACAAATTTAAATCATGAATGCTGAGTATGTCTTATGTAATTGGAATGACCAGTTATGGCCCGCAAAGGTTTTGTCTGTATCTGAGATTACATCAGATAGTAAGAGAAAAAGGGTATTTTCCCTCGAAGTCCAAATTCTCTTACTGGGTGAAATAATTAAAGTGGAAAGCACTGAAACAAAGGCCCTAGATAAATCTCAGATTGAAGCAATTGTCTCCTCAGTAGCAGCACAGTCAGATATCAGTGCATCACCTAGAGAGGAAACAGCCTATGAAAGGTCTCTAAAAGTGGCACTGAGTATTCTGAATGAGAATCAAGATTTGATTCAAATAAGCAGTTCAGATGAAGAAGAGACCACTACATTGTCTGGAAGCATACCACAACCCCATCTTAAAATGTATCAGAACCAAGAAAGTGGAAATTCACCATCCCCATTTGTATCTTCAGAAAGTGATAATTCCCTTTGTGACGACAAATTACAGGTGCCCTCAACCTATGATACTAATGTAAGTGTAATGGAAATGAAGTCATTGCCAAACTTCAGTTGGTGTGAGACTGTCCCTTCACCTTCAGAAGAAGGTGATGATAAAAAGGAGAGTAAGAAAAAGATTGACATGTCAGCAGTCATATATTTTTATTCCACAATGAAAGAGGAGGGTGATCTTGTTAAAGAGGAAAAGTTCTATCCAGCACCATCAGATATATTCACTGTGCCCAAACTTTTGAAAGAAGAGTCACAGAATATCCCCACAGAAACCCTGGATCTATCCTATGAATGCTCTAATTTGCCTTTGCCTGAGAATATTGAAGATCCTGGAGAGGGTCCTTCAAATGCATGCTCTGTTATCACTCGTTATCAACCTGTAGTGGTATCAGAGCCAGAAATTGAGGCACCCCCAGAACCCAGTTCAAGTGACTGTCAGCTTTCATTAAGTGCCTCTAACAGTAACCTGGATTATTCACTCCCACTAAATAGTGAAAGATATTGGCAGGAAGTGGATTTGGAGGAAGTAGGGGGAGAACAGCAAGCCTCTGACAAATCAGGGCATCAAAGTGCTCTTGAAGCTTCCATCCTCAATGAAAGTGAAGAAGAGGAAGAACTTCCACGCATGATTCTTCATTATGAACCACGTCCATTTGAAGTAGGAATGATAGTCTGGTTTAAATACCAAAAATATCCATACTGGCCAGCAGTAATAAAAAGCATCAGGCGAAAGGAGAGAAAAGCCAGTTTACTCTTTGTTGAGGTTAACATGAATCCTGCAAACAGAGGCATTAGGGTGTCTTTTAGAAGATTGAAGAAATACGATTGTAAAGAGAAAAAAGAACTAGTAGAAAAGGCCAAAGAAGAATACTATGAAAGTATTGAGTGGTGCCTGTCACTGATCTGTGACTACAGAGTTAAACTAGGCTGCCGTTCTTTTTCAGGCTCTTTCTTTGAGTATTATGCAGCTGACATTAGTTATCCACTTCGAAAAGGAACCGACCAGGCTGCTTTCAGACACAAATTTCCAAAACTGCGTAACGAAGATGCCAAGGAATTGTTGGCTGTGAAACCCCCTGAAAAGAGAAAGATTTTTCAGAAAATTCTTCCTGACCGAATGAAACCTGCTCGGGATAGAGCCAATCAAAACCTCCTAAACTTTATTGTGAATGAGAAAGGAGCAGAGGGCCATCTTCTAGGTATTTTGAATGGCACAAAAGAATCCAAGTGGCTGAATGCATTTTTACATGCAAACAGACTTTCCCGCTGTATTGAGACCTACTTTGAAGATGAAGATCAGTTGGACAAGGTGATGAAATACTTAAATGAAATCTATGAACAAATAGATGGAGAAATTCCGAGTATGATAAAAGATGATAAAATCAAATTTATCTTGGAAGTTCTTCTGCCAGAAGCAATCATTTGTTCAATTTCTGCTGTTGATGGCTTAGATTACAAGCTAGCTGAAGCAAAGTATCTAAAAGGACCATCTCTAGGTTACAGGGAAAGAGAATTATTTGATGCAAAAATATTAACTGGAAAGAGACGGAGACCAGCGACAAATGAAGGTCACTAAATATTTTGGTCTCCAACTGTAACAGGAAGATTTAGCTTTCACAGATATTTTTAAAAAATATATAATATCTGAACATTTCTCTCCAACATATATTTCCAACAAATAGAAGACTGTTGATAATGTTTTCATATTTTTGAGATCTCTAGGATCTATTTGATACATCTTCATTTCCCTTTTAGTGCTTCTTTAGTCAACTCAACATTTCAGCTTTACCAGAAATTTTTAGAATGCATAATTGTTACATGATTCTTAAGGAAAGGTACTATTTTTCTTTTGAAAATTTCTGTGGCTATGCTGTATAGTTAAATACAGTGTGCACAATCATTTTAATATTAAAATTGCACTAGTATTAGATATTAAGCAAGATGATTAGAAAAATCTTTAAAAGCTTCTATTATATTTTTTGCTTAGTTTTATAAAGTAATTGGGTTTTCCTTTAAGATAATGAAATTATTTTTTCTGCCATGCCTATTTATTTTTGGAAGAATATCTCTGAGATATAGAACCAAAGATAGAGATGCTTTGCTATATATTATAACTAACTGCAATTGCTTTTTTAAGAAAACAATCTGAAATTCAAAATTAAAGTAAGTGGTTAATTTGCAGGCAGTCTCTATTCACATACATTTATATGTGAATAACATTTTAGCACGCAGAAAATCTTTCTGATGGCCTTGAACGGGATTGTTGATTCTATACTTTCCTGAAATGACGTTTATGTGATTGCCTGTGAGTAAATGGTTGACAGGCTTTTTAAGCTTTCTTCATAACTGTGGTTGCATCCTCTTAATGCAGCCATCTGTCCACATGGAGAAGGAAGCTAAAATCACTGTATTCATGGTCTGGCTACTCCAGATGTATAAGTCCAGACTGACTGCATAAGAGCCCATCTAGTTTGATATAAACTGTAGAAAATGCAAGCACTTTGTTCTGAGTCTTGTTTCCTCAGATGTATAGTCATTTGTCTCAAAAAAAGCAATCTCTGTCATCTGGCTTATTTGTAGAGTAGTTTCAGTTGGTTCTAATAATATTAGTGCCAATTGGTAATTCATTCCAAGCTACCATAGAGAGTAGATGAATCTGGTGATTTGAAAATGTGCTGTAAGACAACTCCATTTAGCTAAATATGATAGCTATCTCAATATGTTTAAAAATACACAATTAGAATTTGAAGTGTGAAGCCAATGATTTGCTTATACTAACTTGAAACAAAATTTTTGTGAAAATAGATGCTTATAAAGCTACTTTATTTAAATACCTTGACATAAAATAAATGTGAAAGGCTTAACATGAGTCTACAATTTTACTTTTAGACTAAAACAACTGTCACTCTCCAGCTTTTGTATTTCTGCTCATATTATCACATGTTTATGTAAAATTTCTAAAAGTTAGATGTCTTGGTTGTCAATGGCGCCATTCTATAGTTCACCTTGGATGTTTATTTCTTCATAATTTGGATTACAGCTACATAAGTGGTGTTTCTGTTGATTGCTGTATATATATGTATTTATACATATATATAGTTAAACCATTTACTTATTGTAGTTGTCACATTTTAATAGCTGTTATAATTATCTTTCTAAATAAATATTAACTTCTATCGTTGTTTTACTACTTTAAAAGAAAGTTTTAAAATAGTATAAGCTTCATGTTTTACATAATCTTCGCTTAACTCTGCCTGAAATTTTACTTTGAATGTGAAACAACTGTCACTCTTGGCTTTATTGCATACTCATGGATCGCGTTTATGTAAAATTCTCAAGTTGGATGATTTGGTTTTCAATGAAACCATTCTATATTTTACCTTGATTATTCCTTTCTTTGTATTTAGAATACAGCTACATAAGTGGTGTTTGGCTTTATTACATACTCATGTGATCGCGTTTATGTAAAATTCTCAAGTTGGATGTTTTGGTTTTCAATAAAACCATTCTATATTACACCTTGATTGTTCCTTTCTTTGTATTTAGAATACAGCTACATAAGTGGTGTTTGTAGAATGGGTGAATGTTTCTGTGTATAATTGGACTATGTGTTATAATTTTATTATAGTTTTTAAATTTTTATTAGTGAAACACCATGAGGTACAGTTGTAGACTTAAAAATTTTTGTGCTTGGGTTTCAATTACACAATGATCGAGTACCCATCTCTCCACCAGTGCCCATTCTCCACCACCACTGATCCCAGTATCCCTCCCACAACCCATCCCCCACATTTCATCCTGCCTCTGTGGGAAGGCATTCCGTTTTGTTCTCTCTCTCCATTTTGGTGCTGTGGTTTGTAAAAGAGACATTGAGTGGCAATCATGTTCGGTCTATAGTCTACTTTCAGCATGCATCTCCCATTCTGGGAGGATCCTCCCAACACCCTTTATTTGGTGCTCCCTTCTCTATCTGAGCTGCCTTTTCCCCTAGCATGTGTGGCTGGCCTCCAAGCCATGGAGTGAACCTCCTGGTACGTATCTCGGCTATTCCTGGGTGTTAGTTTCCTATTTTGTTACTTTATGTTCCCCAGATGAAGGCAATCTTTCTATGTCTATCCCTCTCTTTCTGACTCATTTCGCTTAGCTTGATCTTTCCATGTAGTGCCACTTGTATGTAAATTTCATGACTTCATCTTTTCTAACAGCTACATAGTACTCCATTGTGTAGATGTACCAAAGTTTCTTTAACCCGTCATCTGTTCTCAGGCACTCGGGTTTTTTCCAGATTCTGGCTATTGTAAAGAGTGCTGCAATGAACAAACAAGTGCAGATGTTACTTTTACTATACTTTTTTGCCTTTCTGGGATATATTCCCAGGAGTGGTATTGCTGGTCAAATGGGAGCTCAGTTTCTAATTTTTTAAAAATCGCCCATGTTTTCCAAAAGGGCTGAACCAGTCGGCATTCCCACCAGCAGTGAAGGAGGGTCTCTTTCTTGCCACATCCACACCAACACCGGTTGCTTTTGTTCTTTTGGATGAGGGCCAGTCTCTGTGGTGTGAGAGGATATCTCATTGTTCTTTTGGATGTTGGCCAGTCTCTGTGGTGTGAAGTGATACCTCATTGTTGTTTTGATCTGCATCTCCCTGATGATTAATGATGTAGAGCATTTTCTCATGTGCCTGTTAGCCATTCGTATTTCTTCTTTGGGAAAATTTTTGTTCATTTTGTTGCCCCATTTTTTGATGGGGTTAATGTTTTCTTCTTGTGGAGTTCAACCAGTACTTTATATATCCTTGATATCAACCCCTTGTCGTATGGATACTGTGCAAATATCCTTTCCTAATTTTCATTATTCAAATGTTTGTACACGTTATCTAAATATCTTAACTCTCATTGTTTACTCTTAATTATTTCAAAAGAAAGATTTTCAAGTAGTACAAGCCTGATACTTTATAGAACATTCTCTGGACTCTACTTGACAAAGGGCCAAGAAAGATTCTTTGGACATATAATCTGTACCCATCTTATAGATCTTTCTCATCACCGTATTACTTGACAGCAGACCATCACAACACTACATGTGAACCTCAGACCTGGAAAAGACACTTTATTTACTCTGCAATGATCTGTCACATTGATGAAAAGATCACAGTATATATCCGTACATCAGTTTTCACAGAAAAGCCATCTTTATCTTTTGTTCCTAATGTTTTTATTTCATATTTTACTCACTAATTATGCACACAATTGTGAGTTCAGAGCAAGTAATTTCTGATTTGCCAGATGTCAAATCTGATTTTCAGGATGACTACAAAATAGTACTTCTTCCTAATAGAAATATTTATGACATCATATTAATAATGTATCATGTTTATTAGCTATATGTATTTGAAAATATCTTCCCCAAATTTTTCAATTTCTTGACACCTGGTTTGAGGTAGAGATAGAGCACTTGGTACCTTCTGGGGTGTCATTTATATTGTATATATTGATGCAAGAGATACGTAGCTCAGATGTGCACCCTTTCTCTTTGTTAGATAGAATTAGCATTTGGGACTTGAAAGTGAGATTCACTTCTAATTTGTGAACTCGTCTAGTGTGAACTCATCTAAGATCAGTTGGGAATATTGAGACAGCTCTGAGATGGCCCTAATCTGGATCCCCAACCTGGATTGCACAACTAATGAGAAAATTCAATTTTTCACCCGCCCTAGCCTATCACACTAAGGAGACAAATCCCTTCCCTAGTTTTAAGGCAGGATATTGAATACTAGACCCACATTATAGGTGTACATTCTCAGAGCTATGCAAAAACTCAATTCACTAGATTTACAGGTCTCTGTATCAATATTTTTCCCTAATAATGAAGGAGAAATTTGAGACCTGGTATAACAATAAGAATCTAGAATACCTACAATCTTATGAAACCTTAGTATGACAAGAGTAGTGCAATAATCCTTATAGTTGGAGAGCAACCCCCCTCCTTCCTCTTTTCTAGTCAATAACTTCAAAGCAGCTACCTAAAATGTCACTGCTTGCCAAATAGACATTGTAGGGGGTAAAGGTGCATGCTGTTTGCCAAACAGCCCCAAAATGATCCTTTAGCACTTTCAGGTGTCATTCTTCAGAACAAAGATAAAAATGCTTTACCACATAGCACTAATATTTTTATTACTTCTGAATCATAACAGTGGTATGATATCACCAAAGAAGAAGCTAAATGCATTCTGTTTAGGTGGAAAGTCTAGAGGGCATTATAAAAACTAACTAAAAAGCCTATAATTAGTTTGGCTAATACATGTTGGAATGGATTTTGATGATTTTTAATAATATTTTAATAAGGGACGGAAATAAGTGAATATGTAAAAAAATTGTTAACACTGTACACAGTACTCAGGGTTCAGTAACAAAGCTCCTAAATTAGATCTTAAATGGTGTTTGAACAAATTGAACTTCTTCACCAAAATACCAAGAAAATGGTGAGGTTGAGAGGATGGGTGTTATGATTATTGCTGGAGCTTGAAAGATAGTACAGGGCTAGGGAGGTTACCTTGCACACAACCAACCCAAGATTGATCTCTGGAACCCATAAGCTCAACCAGGAGTGGCCCTGACTACAGAGCAGGAA